TTGGCAAACTATGTAACAAAAGATTTTCCATGTGGCTAATCTAATAAGCTTTCTGCCTTACATTGTAACATTTATTTAGTAAAATATCTAAGTATTCAAGGTATTTAATTATAATTCTAATCAATATATTCTAGAATATATTGGTGGTAATAAAATAATATACCTGATCATAACTTGAAGAGATATTATCTGAAATATTATTTCCACATACAAACTTAAAACTAATATTATGACTACTGAATCTCATAAAAATTTCTTATATGCAATTTTAATAAACTATCTTCAAGTTAATATTCTAAGATGATTGTTCCCAAACTTTATCTGAATGAGTACCTTTTAAAAATGTCATAAATCCCCAAAGTGATCAAATTAAATTTTACTTATTCAGCCCTCAGACACAGTTTGGTGAAATTATTGATTCATACAGGTCTGGCAATTACTCTACAACCCATGGGTTGGAAAGCCCAGTTTTAAAGTGATTAGAAGAGTACTGAGGAAACCTGTCAGGAGCAATCAGGGTTTGAATATCCCAATGTATTCAAGAATCTTCCATAAACATTAGCATAAAAAAGCAATTACACTGCCATCTGCAAAAAAAATTGGCATTCACATTACAAGAATGCTGAAGGATCTGTTTTCCTTTTTAATTATACAAAAGAAGGATTCAATTATACCTCAAGAATAGGACTCCAATCAAGGATAGAAGAGCTCATGAAAACCATTCCATTTCTTGAGACCGTAGCAGGAGAAGCATTGTCAATGTTATGAGGCTCGAAAACAATCTTGCAGTTTGGAGACATGGGAATGCGATCACCATTGGCAAGAGTGAGAGTTTTGTTATCATCCAAAACGGAATTCAGATTTTCAATCCAGATGGCATCTACTGGACCATCAAGAACTATCCAAATATGTTCCCCTAGAATACCGCACCAAAGGGGGAAGAAAGCATACATACACACATATGCATATATTGTAATTTGATGTGATTCTCATTAATTTTTAAATTAAGCTTTGATCTAAATGATTACCTTATTTCATCACATGGGACTTTTTAAGTTCTTTATATAGCAGTTGTTTAAGGCCCATAATCAAATCAAAAAGTCATTCATTCATTGGACAAATATTCATTGAACACCTTCTATGTGAGCTCTGTTCTTGGGGCTAGGGATACTTTGGCAAATAAGACAATGTTCTGCCTTCACAGAGCTTACATTCTAAGTGGTGGAGATGATGAGCAAACAAATAAACAATGTATAAGATTGGAAAAATTAAGCAGGATAACAGCATGGGGTAAGGTGGTCAATGAATTATTCCAGAAGGAGGATGAAGTGATGTGAAGATCCACAGGTAGAATTTTCCAGACAGTGGGAATAGAAAGTACAAAGACCCTGATGCAGGCACAAGCTTAGGGTAATACAATGGGCTGAATGTTTATGTTCCCTCGAAATATGGAAACCTTAATCTCCAAGGTGTTTATTCGGGTATTAGGAGGTGTGCATGTGAGAAGTGATTAGTCATAAGGATGGAGCCCTCTGGAATGGGATGAGTGCCTTTATACGGAGACATCAGTGAGCTCCCTTGAAGTTCTGCTATGTGAGAACACAGTGAGAAGTCAGCTGGAACCTAGAAGAAGGTCCTCACCAGAACTCAGCCATGCTGGCACCCTGATGTCAGACTTTCAGCCTCCAGAACTGTGAGAAACAAATGTCTATAGCTTATAAGCCACCGAGGCTATGGCACTTTGTGACAGCAGCCAGCCTGACTAA